TCCGAATACAAACAAATATTCAGAGCTAATTGTCTTTCTCTAGCCAGAATAAAATTAACGAGTTGGTTCTCTTGTCAAAACAAAGTCATAACTCCGGCAGTACTGTAAATGAATCCGTCCACAAAGCGACTAATTCAGTTAGAAGTGCATTCTTTAATTGTAATGTTTGCTTTTTTACGCTTTTAAATAGATTGATGTTGTAGTCTTTACAGATATGTTTTTCACCATATGCAATTGTTAAAATATTTTTTATGTGCTTGTAAATTCACATTATTTAACATTTTAAAATTCTGTTTCCATTAAGTAAGCAGGCGATCATGGCTCTCTACAGCTTCCTTTTGCTTATTACCTGTAAATTTCCACGATTCTTAGGAAGAGAGTGGCGAGGTTTCTCGTTGGCTTCAACAGGGTTTGAAATTAAGAGTTTTTCTCCTCGTTGCCCTCCGATGTTTTAGAGACCATTCGACACAATTATGCGGGCTTGCGTTGTCATGGATGAAAAGATTATTACAATTGAAGAGCGCACGGCACTTTTAGAACAAACTTTTATAAACAAGCTGCAGTTGCACATATAAATGTACATTCAGTGTCACAACATTAATTTTCTTTCATGGGGTTCAGACTTTAGGGTCGTTTCTGGAGATATATCCTTTTCAATTACCTACCTTTGGCATTAAACATTGTTGTATGCAACCCACTTTTCATCACCTGTTAGGATATGTTTAAGGAACAGTTAATTAAAATGAGGATTCTTCATTACAAATGGTTTCCCCTAAACGGAAATTCCTTACGAGACAACTTAATATATAGTAGTATGAGTATTAGTTGTTTGAATGCTGAACTGTAGTATGTCTGTTTCCTCTCTAGCCACGAGGCCATAGCTGAGAGCGGAGAGTAGGGACGTATTCAGATCTTTCCCAAGAGCACTTGTGCGAATGTGAACACAGTAGACTAGGCGAGAATTTGAACTCGGTCCGCCGATTTTAGTCTGCACCGGTAACTGTTGCATATCTTGCTCATCATAATGTTCAATATAATACATTTTTAAACAAAAAAGTGTTTTGTAGTTTCAGTTTTGCTTATTAAATTTCGCAAATGAATCTATGCACTGGCGACGAAACAACATCTCCAAGGCAGTTTCTGAAAACCAACAATACGTTTTATATAAGGAGAGTAATTCTTCAAGAAGCCATCTTTAGAGTCATAATTAACTTGATCTCATATGGAAGAGTCTAAAGTCTTGCTGCAAATTTCTTCTAAATCTTCTAACGAATTTTCCCTATCCTTGATCCCAAACTAGTTTACTTATTTGCATTACACGGTAAACCTTAGGATATATCAAGAGTAGATTTCTTTGCAAGCCAATGGAATATTTTCTCAACAGATTTACTTAATGTGTACAACGGAATGACTAAGAGAATTAAAGGAACTACCAGGATTTATTTTCAGAGTATGTAACATTAGCATTCTCTGCTACGAAGATGACACAATGTTGATGGCAAATCTAGAAGCATTAACTGAATGGGCTATTAGTCAATGTACAAGACGGAGGCATGGTAGTAAGTAAAAGGAACAGATCAAGATAGGAATTACATATCGGGGACGCCAACATTTTAAAAAGTGTAGAAATTCAACTATGTGGGAAGGAAGAAAAAAAACAGAGAAAGAGTAACAAAAATGTTGAAGGCGCATAAGAATGACAGAGTCATTTTTTTTTCAGAAAGCGAATAAGGTATGTACCATATTCTTTTAGCATGTACCATGTACCATTCCAGTCGAATCAATTACATTCACTTACGTGCTAATACATTTGGGAAAGGTATCCTCTTCTTCTCCCTCCAGCTATGGGTAAATAGTAGAACAGACCTGGTTCTATAGCCTTGGATGGCAACTGGTCTATCGCAGAAAGAAATGGCAACCTACTACGGGATAAGAAGTCTGCCTCGTCAGTCATATATCGAAAGATACATGATCGCTTATGTGTGTATCACGCATGGCACATAACTGACTGATGTACCATAGCTCTCCACGATTTCATGTCTTTTGTTGCTTTATGTGACTTTTGACTCATTAACATCACTATTTGTTGTAGTTTTGCTATGCATTAGCACAAATTCGACAAACAGGTTACGTATTGTTTTTCCTTCTTCAATATGTCATGTGAGGCCTTATGATGTTTCTCTTTCTGATTGCAAGTAATTGTTTCTATTTTCCTTAAAACTTATATATCTCTCGATGCAAGCTTTGGGAATCATGCCTATTTGTTGTCGCTTATGATGCTTTAAAAGGTAAGGTAGAGATGAAGCCATCTAGCAAAGTCAGAAGAGCTGGGGTCATCGAAAGATACCGTACGTAGATTATTGCATAAGCTTGTTTTGTAATTGTATAATTTGCAGTTGATACTATTGATACACCTTAGTATTTGACGTAAACAGAAAGAAAGTAATCTCTGAAGATAGAAGCACGAGTTGTTTTAAAACATTTTTTTCATCCTCTCACTATTACTATGATGTCACCTCCAACCACTTCTGTTGGGCAAAGTGCCAAGTTCTAAGTTGATTGTAACTCTAAGCAATATCTTTCTTTTTACTCTTCTTCCCAATACTGTTCCGCTATCGATTTACACAAGCACTTTAGGAAGGTTAGTCGATGTTTTCCTTTGTCTTTTTTGCATTTACTATGTCTCGTGAGTGTCAAATTCTCCAGAACCTCATTCCTCATCATGTGTCTTTCTGATTTTTAAATATAATTGTCTTTAATGGTCCCACTTTCTTTAAAACTTCCTTGTTGTTCACATGCTCCGTTCATCGTATTCTCAGCATTCTTCTGTAGAATGAAATCTGAAGTTTCTTCTTCGTCTGTGAGGAGATAGGATTCCAGATAAGAAGATCGATATTACATAGTAGTTCAGCTCCTTTTTTTCTTTGTTTCTAACGAAATCTTTCTATTTTTTTTAATAGTTTGATTAGGTTATACAATGTATCATTCGCTATTCAAATGCGTTTTCGGAAACGCTTTCCAGTTAATATTTTGTACCTGCCTGGGCATTCATGGCGAATAAATGGTGTCCAGTTCACGTTGGGAACAATTTATTGAAACATTTCCCACATGCAGCAAAAGACCAATATCTCATCATGATGAGATATTGGTCTTTTGCTGCAGACATAATACAAATGACTTTACTAAATATACAGTAACGCCTGATGCAGTAATTCCAATAAAGCTATCGTCATCAGGTACAAATGACATTGTTATATTTGCTTTTCTTGGAATGATTATCAGGCGACCACTTGGCGGCGTTTAGCTAATTCTTTTCGATTTTTTATTCGGTTGGATCGTATCTCTACGTTCTGTTAATCCTACTGGACACACAAGTTGAGCCAACCCCAGAAGAGATAAGTATAATAGACATTAATGCTATTAGGCGCATCACAAATCGAGCGAACAATTCAGCATTTCTCTCACCCTCTCTCTCTTTCTATCTTTGCTTTTTAAATACAACTATGTAATCTATTATGTAGGCCATATTGTTGAAGTCTGATTGCTTTTAAATAGCCTCTCTATAAAGACATGAACGACGAAAGAAATAATCCTCTCTCTCTTTCTTCTTGCTTCTCTCTCTTTTACACACACATATTTACACACACGAATGCACACGCAGAAACACAAACATACACACAAATACATATATAAAACATATTCTGGTGCAATTAAAAAGACATAAATATAGTATTCAGTAACTTACACACAAATAAATACATATAAAAAGTATATAGCAAAAAAATTAAATGTTCACTTATCTCTCTCTGTTCTGAGTTTCACGGAGATTTATCGAATAATCAATGGGGTCTGATAGTAAAATAATATAATAAAATAATTATTAAAAAAAAGATAAATTATATTTACACCGTTCGGATTGTTGTCCTCATCTTTATTGCCATATTCACGACGCTACGGCCTTCTCCTGTTGGAATTTTGAACAGAACCCTTTATCTAATTCCACGTACTAAACCTTTTTTTTTAGATATCTCAATTTAAGTTAATTTCCTTTGGAAAGCCAACAAGTTTTTGTTTCCTCAGCTGTGAATTGATATTGAACTCACAATTCCTTCAACTCACGTTTGGGCTCACTTAACCAAAGCTGGCATATCTAGGGTATGGAAAGGAGGACCCATTGTATGGATGACACTTGGGATGTAGGGCACAATGATCCAAAGTGGCATACCTAGGGTATGGAAAGTAGGACCCATTACATGAATGACACTTGGGATGTAGGGCACAATGATCCAAAGTGGCATATCTTGGGTATGGAAAAGTAGGACCAATTACATGAATGACACCTGGGATGTAAGGCAAAATGATCCAAAGTGGCATATCTTGGGTATGGAAAGTAGGACCCGTTACATGAATGAAACCTGGGATTTAGGGCACAATGATCCACAGTGGCATACCTAGGGTATGGAAAGTAGGACCCATTACATGAATGACACTTGGGATGTAGGGCACAATGATCCAAAGTGGCATATCTTGGGTATGGAAAGTAGGACCAATTACATGAATGACACCTGGGATGTAAGGCAAAATGATCCAAAGTGGCATATCTTGGGTATGGAAAGTAGGACCCGTTACATGAATGAAACCTGGGATTTAGGGCACAATGATCCAAAGTGGCATATCTAGGGTATGGAAAGTAGGAACAATTACATGAATGACACCTGGGATGTAAGGCAAAATGATCCAAAGTGGCATACTTGGGTATGGAAAGTAGGACCAATTACATGAATGACATCTGGGATGTAGGGCTCAATGATCCAAAGTAGCATATCTTGGGTATGGAAAGTAGGACCAATTACATGAATGACACCTGGGATGTAGGGCACAATGATCCAAAGTGGCATACCTTAGGTATGGAAAGTAGGACCAATTACATGAATGACACCTGGGATGTAGGGGCACAATGATTCACAGTGGCATATCTTGGGTATGGAAAGTAGGACACATTACATGAATGACACCTGGGATGTAGGGCACAATGATCCCAGTGGCATATCTTGGGTATGGAAAGTAGGACCCATTACATGAATGACACCTGGGATGTAGGGCACAATGATCCAAAGTGGCATACCTTGGGTATGGAAAGTAGGACCAATTACATGAATGACAACTGGGATGTAGGGCACAATGATCCACAGTGGCATATCTTGGGTATGGAAAGTAGGACACATTACATGAATGACACCTGGGATGTAGGGCACAATGATCCACAGTGGCATATCTTGGGTATGGAAAGTAGGACCCATTACATGAATGACCCCTGGGATGTAGGGCAAATGATCCACAGTGGCATACCTAGGGTATGGAAAGTAGGACCAATTACATGAATGACCCCTGGGATGTAGGGCACAATGATCCAAAGTGGCATACCTTGGGTATGGAAAGTAGGACCAATTACATGAATGACACCTGGGATGTAGGGCACAATGATCCACAGTGGCATATCTTGGGTATGGAAAGTAGGACCCATTACATGAATGACACCTGGGATGTAGGGCACAATGATCCAAAGTGGCATACCTTGGGTATGGAAAGTAGGACCAATTACATGAATGACACCTGGGATGTAGGGGCACAATGATCCACAGTGGCATATCTTGGGTATGGAAAGTAGGACACATTACATGAATGACACCTGGGATGTAGGGCACAATGATCCACAGTGGCATATCTTGGGTATGGAAAGTAGGACCCATTACATGAATGACCCCTGGGATGTAGGGCAAAATGATCCACAGTGGCATACCTAGGGTATGGAAAGTAGGACCAATTACATGAATGACCCCTGGGATGTAGGGCACAATGATCAAAGTGGCATACCTTGGGTATGGAAAGTAGGACCAATTACATGAATGACACCTGGGATGTAGGGCACAATGATCCACAGTGGCATATCTTGGGTATGGAAAGTAGGACCCATTACATGAATGACACCTGGGATGTAGGGCACAATGATCCAAAGTGGCATATCTTGGGTATGGAAAGTAGGACCAATTACATGAATGACACCTGGGATGTAGGGCACAATGATTCACAGTGGCATATCTTGGGTATGGAAAGTAGGACACATTACATGAATGACACCTGGGATGTAGGGCACAATGATCCACAGTGGCATATCTTGGGTATGGAAAGTAGGACCAATTACATGAATGACACCTGGGATGTAGGGCACAATGATCCACAGTGGCATATCTTGGGTATGGAAAGTAGGACCAATTACATGAATGACACCTGGGATGTAGGGCACAATGATCCACAGTGGCATATCTTGGGTATGGAAAGTAGGACCAATTACATGAATGACACCTGGGATGTAGGGGCACAATGATCCACAGTGGCATATCTTGGGTATGGAAAGTAGGACCAATTACATGAATGACACCTGGGATGTAAGGCACAATGATCCAAAGTGGCATACCTAGCGTATGGAAAGTAGGACCCATTACATGAATGACACCTGGGATTTAGGGCACAATGATCCACAGTGGCATACCTAGGGTATGGAAAGTAGGACCCATTACATGAATGACACTTGGGATGTAGGGCACAATGATCCAAAGTGGCATATCTTGGGTATGGAATGTAGGACCAATTACATGAATGACACCTGGGATGTAAGGCAAAATGATCCAAAGTGGCATATCTTGGGTATGGAAAGTAGGACCCGTTACATGAATGAAACCTGGGATTTAGGGCACAATGATCCACAGTGGCATACCTAGGGTATGGAAAGTAGGGACCCATTACATGAATAACACTTGGGATGTAGGGGCACAATGATCCAAAGTGGCATGGAATGGGACCAATTACATGAATGACACCTGGGATGTAAGGAATGATCCAAAGGACATATCTTACATGAATGACCCACCTGGACACCTGGGTAGGGCACAATGATCCAAAGTGGCATATCTTGGGTATGGAAAGTAGGACCCATTACATGAATGACACCTGGGATGTAGGGCACAATGATCCAAAGTGGCATATCTTGGGTATGGAAAGTAGGACCAATTACATGAATGACACCTGGGATGTAAGGCACAATGATCCAAAGTGGCATACCTAGGGTATGGAAAGTAGGACCAATTACATGAATGACACCTGGGATGTAAGGCACAATGATTCAAAGTAGCATATGTTGGGTATCGAAAGTAGGACCAATTACATGAATGACACCTGAGATGTAAGGCACAATGATCCAAAGTGGCATACCTTGGGTATGGAAAGTAGGACCAATTACATGAATGACACCTGGGATGTCCAAAGGCACAATGATTCAAAAGTAGCATATCTTGGGTATCGAAAGTGGGACCAATTACATGAATGACACCTGGGATGTAGGGGCACAATGATCCAAAGTGGCATATCTTGGGTATGGAAAGTAGGACCAATTACATGAATGACACCTGGGATGTAAGGCGCAATGATCCAAAGTGGCATATCTTGGGTATGGAAAGTAGGACCAATTACATGAATGACACCTGGGATGTAGGGCACAATGATCCAAAGTGGCATATCTTGGGTATGGAAAGTAGGACCAATTACATGAATGACACCTGGGATGTAGGGCACAATGATCCAAAGTGGCATATCTTGGGTATGGAAAGTAGGACCAATTACATGAATGAGACCTGGGATGTAAGACACAATGATCCAAAGTAGCATATCTTGGGTATGGAAAGTAGGACCAATTACATGAATGACACCTGGGATGTAGGGCACAATGATCCACAGTGGCATATCTTGGGTATGGAAAGTAGGACCCATTACATGAATGACACCTGGGATGTAAGGCACAATGATCCAAAGTGGCATACCTTGGGTATGGAAAGTAGGACCAATTACATGAATGACACCTGGGATGTAGGGCACAATGATCCACAGTGGCATATCTTGGGTATGGAAAGTAGGACCCATTACATGAATGACACCTGGGATGTAGGGCACAATGATCCAAAGTGGCATATTTTGGGTATGGAAAGTAGGACCCATTACATGAATGACACCTGGGATGTAGGGCACAATGATCCAAAGTGGCATATCTTGGGGTATGGAAAGTAGGACCCATTACATGAATGACACCTGGGATGTAGGGCACAATGATCCAAAAGTGGCATACCTTGGGTATGGAAAGTAGGACCAATTACATGAATGACACCTGGGATGTAGGGCACAATGATCCACAGTGGCATATCTTGGGTATGGAAAGTAGGACACATTACATGAATGACACCTGGGATGTAGGGCACAATGATCCAAAGGCAAAAGTAGGATATCTTGGGTATGGAAAGTAGGACCAATTACATGAATGACACCTGGGATGTAAGGCACAATGATCCACAGTGGCATATCTTGGGTATGGAAAGTAGGACCCATTACATGAATGACACCTGGGATGTAAGGCACAATGATCCAAAGTGGCATACCTAGGGTATGGAAATGTAGAACCAATTACATGAATGACACCTGGGATGTAAGGCACAATGATCCAAAGTGGCATATCTTGGGTATGGAAAGTAGGACCCATTACATGAATGACACCTGGGATGTAGGGCACAATGATCCAAAGTGGCATATCTTGGGTATGGAAAGTAGGACCAATTACATGAATGACACCTGGGATGGCACAATGATCCAAAGTGGCATATCTTGGGTATGGAAAGTAGGACCAATTACATGAATGACACCTGGGATGTGACAGGGCACAATGATCCAAAAGTGGCATATCTTGGGTATGGAAAGTAGGACCAATTACATGAATGAGACCTGGGATGTAAGGCACAATGATCCAAAGTAGCATATCTTGGGTATGGAAAGTAGGACCAATTACATGAATGACACCTGGGATGTAGGGCACAATGATCCACAGTGGCATATCTTGGGTATGGAAAGTAGGCCCATGAATACATGAATGACACCTGGGATGTGAAGGCACAATGATCCAAAGTGGCATACCTTGGGTATGGAAAGTAGGACCAATTACATGAATGACACCTGGGATGTAGGGCACAATGATCCACAGTGGCATATCTTGGGTATGGAAAGTAGGACCCATTACATGAATGACACCTGGGATGTAGGGCACAATGATCCAAAGTGGCATATTTTGGGTATGGAAAGTAGGACCCATTACATGAATGACACCTGGGATGTAGGGCACAATGATCCAAAGTGGCATATCTTGGGTATGGAAAGTAGGACCCATTACATGAATGACACCTGGGATGTAGGGCACAATGATCCAAAGTGGCATACCTTGGGTATGGAAAGTAGGACCAATTACATGAATGACACCTGGGATGTAGGGCACAATGATCCACAGTGGCATATCTTGGGTATGGAAAGTAGGACACATTACATGAATGACACCTGGGATGTAGGGCACAATGATCCAAAGTGGGATATCTTGGGTATGGAAAGTAGGACCAATTACATGAATGACACCTGGGATGTAAGGCACAATGATCCACAGTGGCATATCTTGGGTATGGAAAGTAGGACCCATTACATGAATGACACCTGGGATGTAAGGCACAATGATCCAAAGTGGCATACCTAGGGTATGGAAAGTAGGACCAATTACATGAATGACACCTGGGATGTGGGGCACAATGATCCACAGTGGCATATCTAGGGTATGGAAAGTAGGACCCATTACATGAATGACACCTGGGATGTAGGGCACAATGATCCAAAGTGGCATATCTTGGGTATGGAAAGTAGGACCAATTACATGAATGACACCTGGGATGTAAGGCACAATGATCCAAAGTGGCATATCTTGGGTATGGAAAGTAGGACCCATTACATGAATGACACCTGGGATGTAGGGCACAATGATCCAAAGTGGCATATCTTGGGTATGGAAAGTAGGACCAATTACATGAATGAGACCTGGGATGTAAGGCACAATGATCCAAAGTAGCATATCTTGGGTATGGAAAGTAGGACCAATTACATGAATGACACCTGGGATGTAAGGCACAATGATCCAAAGTGGCATATCTTGGGTATGGAAAGTAGGACCAATTACATGAATGACACCTGGGATGATCCAAGGCACAATGATCCAAAGTGGCATATCTTGGGTATGGAAAGTAGGACCAATTACATGAATGACACCTGGGATGTAGGGCACAATGATCCAAAGTGGCATATCTTGGGTATGGAAAGTAGGACCAATTACATGAATGACACCTGGGATGTAAGGCACAATGATCCAAAGTAGCATATCTTGGGTATGGAAAGTAGGACCAATTACATGAATGACACCTGGGATGTAAGGCAAAATGATCCAAAGTGGCATACCTAAGGTATTGAAAGTAGGACCAATTACATGAATGACACCTGGGATGTAGGGCACAATAATCCACAGTGGCATATCTAGGGTATGGAAAGTATGACCCATTACATGAATGACACCTGTGATATATGCCACCATGAAGCCATTTAACAAATAATTTACTGCGTAATATTCATGAATTAGGCGCTAAATCTTCTGGTAACACGCTGTTGAATGTTTTTGTTGACCTCGATGCTGATAGATTCTGGTCAGTGAAAGGACGAAACACTCAGTTTTAGGCTTAACCGGCGCCTTCCGTTTTTACTTTATCGCACTACGAGTGCAATAACTTATCAATATATAAGTTATTAAAATACAGCTTATTAAAATATATCTTATTAAAATGTAACTTATGAAGATATAACTTATCAAATTTAACTTATTAAAATATACTTTAACAAAATGTAACTTATCAAAATGTAACTTATTAAAATATAACTTATTAAAATGTAACTCATCAAAATATAATTTATTATAACAGAACTTATAAAAATATAACTTATCAAATTTTAACTTATTAAAATATAATTTATCAAAATATTAATTATTAAAATATAACTTAGGAAAATATAACTTATGAAAATATAACTTATGAAGATATAACTTATCAAATTTAACTTATTAAAATATACTTTATCAAAATATTACTTATTAAAATATAACTTATCAAAATATTACTCATGAAAATATTCCTTATTAAAAATATAACTTATCAAAATACAACTTATGAATATATAACTTATAAAAAATATAACTTATCAAAAATATAACTTATTAAAATATAATTTATCAAAATATAACTTATTAAAATATATCTTCTTGTGTTGCTATTATTTTTTTCATTATTTCTCAATTGAAAATATTAAAGGTTATTAAAAATAGCCTCTTGCCGTGGGTATTTTATTGGCACTGAAACGCTTTTTAGTGTCATGTGTTTTCTTGCAGTGCCGTTATATCTTATTTTTTATTATTTTTCGCATTTAAAAATGTAACGGATATTTAAAACGGGATTCTTAAAATCTGAGGTCATGCACTGAATTTTGATTTTTGGGGGTTATTTTATTGTATTGACAAAACATTGTAAAAATAGAATTATTTTCTAACATTATATTGCCAAAATTTCAATTCATTTCAAATAAAATATATAAAAAATAAAAGATATATTTCTTAAAGTCCTATAATTTATTATATACAGGTGTCAATAAAGTCTCTTTACAATTTAAAGAATTTATTACAAAAGCAAATAAACAGACAAATATGTGAAAAATGAGGAGTAGATATTGAACTTTTTAACTTGTTTAATCCACCTCTCTATATGGACACCATTTGTTGCACGAATCACATCAAGGCGGTCCTCAATTTCTTTCCATGTTCGCTGTAGAATCGCCTCATCAATGGTGGAAGCGTCATCAGTGATCTTTAGCTTTTGATCAGTGATGTCCCATATCTTTGTTCGATACACAATATCTTTGATATAACCCCAAAGTCCAGGTGGGGGTGATATCTGGGGAATGAGGTGGCTAGGAATGTGGGCCATACCTTCCAATTCACTGGTCTGGAAATGTTTGGGTTTCATTTAACAGTAACTTTTTTTATCAACAGGATACCTGAAATTCACAAACGCAATGTGATTAAAAAGTTTGATAACTACTAAGTACATAGAACAAATCTATGTAATAAATTTTTTAGATTGTAAAGAGACTATTAAAACCCTGTATATTTAAGATCTTCATTTATATTTTTGAACTAGTTGGTTACAGTAATCATTAGTAGCGACGCAATTTAAGCGTCTTGCCATAAGCACCATCTTTCATAGACAGACTTCTGCTTATAACCCAAAGCCTTGTCCATGATACTTTGAATTTCTTTGCCCGTGGAGAAAAAGAATGCCATAGTTGTAGGGTTAGCTATTTTGGTGTTCAGATCATAATTGTGTAACCATGTTTCAGCTTCAGTGAAAAATTAAAAAAGAACCGCTAGATTGCCGAAAATGTCAAATCATCTTGGAGGTGTCCACTGAATTTCGTTTCTGGTCATTATTGAAACATTTTGACAGAAGAGCTCTACTCTTTGGTTCTACCAGTTCATACTTTTGCTTCTAGGCACGCCACTTCCACTGAGTCGAATCACCCCTATTTCCTACGTGTCACAAATGTAAAAAAGAAATTCCATTCTGACAGCTTTTTTCCCCCCAAGAATTACATCTCTATTGGTCAGACTCCTATGCCGGTGCTTCCCTGAATATTTTCAACTTGATCTCTTCAAATGATGAGTCAATTGTTAGATATCCTCTATATCCTCATAATCTTCACTCCTTACCACTTTCTCTTCCACTTATTTTACACATCTCGCTTCTCATTACCATTTCGACTTTACCCTCTACCTTCAGCGGCTCTCAAGCCTTGTACTGGGTGACATTTATTTAAAAAAAAAAGATTAGTTGACGGTTTCATGTATATCATTTGTTAAGGAACGTGTTCCCTGGATATGTTATTAATTCTTTTGATCAAGTTTGTTCGATAAGCCAAAATTAGATCTTCGGCACGATCAGTAACTCACGGAGTTTATACTGTTGAAAACATCCCAGGCTGCACTGTTTTTTTTTTTTTTGCATCTCAAAATCTCCACGCTTAAATTTTGCACATCACGTTTTCACAGTTGAGTATTATGGACACTTGTCACTAAATTTTCGCATCATGAATTTATGGATTTACTGTGGAGTTTTCTTCTGCAGGAACAGGAGATTCATGATATCCCAGAATGTCAAACTTGAAAATTCCACACTTTCTGTGGATATGGTTGAGTTAATGACTTGAAACAAATCCAAAAAATAAGTGCTAAACCCTCTGTCAAAATTGCACTTTAGATTACGAAAGGGCGCAAATAACTGACTAACCCAAATACCCAGACACACACACTCACATACACATACACATACACACACACTCACATACACATACACACACACACTAAAGTATGCAAACTCTTTTGCACGTACACACACATACACACACATACTCATGCACAGATATGCAGTCACAAATACAAAAATATACACGCAAGCACACAATCATATTTAAAAATCACACAAGCATATTCACAGACGTAGACAGAAAAATATATATATATCGCCCATATATATATATATATATATATAGAGAGAGAGAGAGAGAGAGAGAGAGATAGATAGATAGATAGATAGATAGATAGAGTGTGTGTGAGTATCTATCTATCTATTTATCTATCTGTCTATCTATCTATCTATATATATATATATATATATATATATATATATATATATATATATAGATAGATAGATAGATAGATAGATAGATACTCACACACAAAGACGCTAACACACTCACCCACAGACGAAAACAAAGAGCCCCTCCCCACCTACAAACCGGCCATACGATCAGTGCTATTGCCCTGGATACGTCTTAAAAGTCGATGTATCGTGATGGGAAATTGGCGCGTGTTCTGAGAAATGTCCGTAGATACCGAATGCAAAAGGAGGAAAACAACACTCCCCCCTCCAATACACAAAGGAAAAAAAAGGGAGGAAAGAAAGAAAAAAGGACATATGCACACTCAAATAACAACAAATGAAATAAATATAGCAAAGATTCTTTTCTTGTTGTTTGTGTCTCGTTTCTCTTTTGCTTTGTCGGCCAGACGTTTTCGTTAACATCGAGCCGCACAGTTAACGTCTCATCCCCTGACTAACATCCTTCTTGAGCCGATTGTTGCTCTCACTCTTTAGATTTATATCATGTCTGGAACTAGGTAACCTCCATCTGGTCTAGTGGGGAATGGGTGCAGGGGCATTCAGAACGATTGAATCATCATTTCTATCTATGCCTAGATTGATCCCTCGACATTTTTTGCAAAATGCTATCAACGTTACTCTGATCATCTTTATTTTTTATCGCTAAGCTTAGCTCAGTTTTCTTTCTACAAACGTTCACCCAATACAACGTTCAAGAGCCACTCAAACTGAATTACTGGGTTACTGAATGAGGTGTGTGATATGATTATAAGGGTAAGAAGTATGAAATATGAGGATATATAGGATAGATAAAATTGAATTCTTAAGAAGTTAAGATTGTAGTGAAGTATCCACGCGCTAGTCTGTTCCACAAAGCAGCGGTTCTTAGGGAAAAAGTCAAGTTGGATTTACAGTTGAAATACGGATGGAATACGGATGGTTCGATTTCGTGGACATAACATGGCGTGTTTTAGCTGTAAAGGCCTGAACTGGGGGATGTAAAGAATAGAGCTCGTTATAACTTGAGACTTTACGTCCGTAGGAAAGAGTCTGCTGGGTACAAAATATGTCATCATCCCCCCAAGACGCATAAACGACTTTGAACTCTATCAACGCGTGTAAAGTAAAGATTGGGGCAGCTCCAGCCCAAATATGGCGGCAATACTCCATTTTTTGTTTTTTTGGTATAATCTTATTCTTGCAAACATGAAGCATGTCAGAAGGAATCAAATTCTCTCTAGAGCAGTATAATGATCATTTTGACGCCATATTTAGTAATAGATTGTAAATAGGAACTCCAACTTCATATCTGGAATGAACTTCAGTCTCTATAGACGTTCGAAGAAAAGCGCCACATTGTGAAAAGTGCTGTTCATTATGACTGGTGAAAACTCAGGATCTGGTCGGTGATGATACTAGGTTAGCTTTTTGAGGTATTGAAAGTTACATACCAGTTTTCCCACTATTGAGCTGTTTGCGCTAGGTCAGTGAATGAGCTAGGTCAGTGGAAAGATCAGATATTAGGCTTGGATTATATTGATTTTTGGAACTGAATTATTATTATTATTATTATTATTATTGTAAAAATCAGAAAATCATATTTCTCTTATAATCAGATCAATGTAGCTATGCCCAACTGGGCTTACCAAAATGGCAAAAAGAACTTTAGAAAAGAGATGAATTGCTGAAACATTTGCTTATACAGAAATTTTCAAAAGGTAAGAGAATTTCTACGAAAACTTTTCTTTGTTCCTAGGACGGGTATGTTTTTTGATTGATAGATGCGTTTTTTTACGGCTTATCAACCCTTTTTGGGTTATTTAAAGACCGCAACATATTTTGGATTTTAAGAATAATTTTTCTTTTTTTGCAAGTGGATATTTCACTAACAATTCCCTGGAGATGAAAATCTGTTTCCAGATATAAATTCAACTACTGAACCCATAGTTGAGAGAGAAGTAATGTTTCCCAAAGGTATTCACACTTGTGAATATAACAAACTCGACTGGAATTTGAACTCAATTTCTCATTCCGTTATACATTCATAGAACGGGAGCCCCACAATATGGTGTAATGGTTAGCAAACTTGTCTCACTAAATAAAAGACAATTACGACTGAGTAGTGAGTTCGATCCTCACTGAGTACACCATAATGTTGGCCTTGTACCACATTAAAGCTACTCTTAGAAAATCATCATTAGGGAAGCTCGACATGGTGTAATGGTTAGTAAACTTCTCTCGCTAAAAAACAAAATAAGTACGACTCAGTCATGAGCTCTATCTCTCCCTGGGTTCGGCCTTGTGTCACATCTAAGCTAAGTTTATAAAATCACCATACATTCGTAGAGCGAGTATATTAAATATTAACTGTAATTATATATAAACATATAAAGCATATTTAAATCAACAATACAACTCAATTATTTTATTTCATTGCGATTGAGAAATCTTTGCTTTACTAAAATTTATAATTACAACATGGGGAGAAAAAAAAATTCAACTATGAAAGGAAATTTCTTCTCTAACTGTTTGAGTCAAATAATGAGAAAGCCGGCTACAGGGTGCGATGGATAAATTGTCATCAAAATAACGCAAAAATGAAAATAACACTGACATCTCATTGTAACAGATATATCATTGCACAAAATTATCTTGAAATACTAAAGAGTAAATTTATTCAATAAAATCGTCATTGAATTCAACCACACCTTCCAGACAACTTCGGAATCTCCTCCAACTCTTCTAAAAACATCTCCTCATTTAAGTTGGCGAATGCTGCTATAATCCTTGTCTTCAGTTCATCTTTTGTGTTACAAGGAGTTTTGTTGGTCTCTCTCTCAACTGCGCAATAATTAAGGGGTTTGCAGTCTGGGGAGTTAGGTAGAGGTAAGGGATGATATGGTCGCAGAAATTGTCTAACAGCCATGCCTGGGTTCTTCTGCTTGTGCGGCATGGTGCAGAGTCCTGTTGCCGGACATAGTGTCTTTCATCAGCCACCCTCTTGACTCAGGGCAGCACTACCTGCTTAAGGCACTTGATGTAGGCCTCCGTGATGAATCTGAGGCTCTGTGTAAATATGAATGGAGGCATAACGTCACCATCACTTCTTAATCACTATTAGACTCATCTAACTCTTTCCGAATCCTCAGTACTGTCCTCAGATTGACACCCAAACACTCCGAAATATTCGTATTGGAGCTTCTGGCGCGAATGACAAGCAGTACAGCATGCCGTTTCCAAATTTCAGGCGGAGTGAAGTGCTTTTTTTTTTCTCAAAGTGCTTAACTGACACTAATATACTGTGCAGTTGACAAAATAAAAAAAAAGAACAAAGAACTCGCAAGCATGAAACTAAAAATATAAAATGGCGACAATTCGCCCATCACTTCCTAGACATCTCAGTTGGTCTGACGTTCCTCCAGCAATTTTATTGCAATGTCCGACTCTATGCACCTTAAAGCGCTGGGTACTCAAACGCATTTTAACGTCTTCTAAGCGTGTATTTGACTCCAGGCAGACGTAGACATACAAGTGATAAAATATAGAATAAAAAAGGGATCTTTATCTTGGATGTATCAGTCGCCCGGAAACATTGCTCAAATCGATTAATTCAATTTTCATTTAATAAGTTATCCCAAGCATTCCCTATCGTGAGATTTATGTACGAGCGCACGTGCAGACGTAAAGAGAGCCTGTATTACGCAGACATAAGAGAGCCTGTATTACGCAGACATAAGAGAGCCTGTATTACGCAGACATAAAGAGAACCTGTATTACGCAGACATAAGAGAGCCTGTATTACGCAGACATAAAGAGAGCCTGCAGACATAACGCAGACATAAAGAGAGCCTGTATTACGCAGACATAAAGAGAGCCTGTATTACGCAGACATAAGAGAGCCTGTATTACGCAGACATAAGAGAGCCTGTATTACGCAGACATAAAAGAGAGCCTGTATTACGCAGACATAAGAGAGCCTGTATTACGCAGACATAAGAGAGCCTGTATTACGCAGACATAAAGAGAGCCTGTATTATGCAGACATAAGAGAGCCTGTATTACGCAGATATAAAGAGAGCCTGTATTACGCAGACATAAGAGAGCCTGTATTACGCAGACATAAAGAGAGCCTGTATTATGCAGACATAAAGAGAGTCTGTATTACGCAGACATAAGAGAGCCTGTATTACGCAGACATAAAGAGAGCCTGTATTACGCAGACATAAGAGAGCCTGTATTACGCAGACATAAGAGAGCCTGTATTACGCAGACATAAAGAAAGCCTGTATTACGCAGACATAAGAGAGCCTGTATTACGCAGACATAAAGAGAGCCTGTATTACTCAGACATAAAGAGAGCCTGTATTACGCAGACATAAGAGAGCCTGTATTACGCAGACATAAGAGAGCCTGTATTACGCAGACATAAAGAGAGCCTGTATTACGCAGACATAAGAGAGCCTGTATTACGCAGACATAAAGAGAGCCTGTATTACGCAGACATAAGAGAGCCTGTATTGCAGACATAAAGAGAGCCTGTACATGCAGACATAAGAGAGCCTGTATTATGCAGACATAAGAGAGCCTGTACATGCAGACATAAAGAGAGCCTGTACATGCAGACATAAGAGAGCCTGTATTATGCAGACATAAAGAGAGCCTGTATTACGCAGACATAAGAGAGCCTGTATTACGCAGACATAAAGAGAGCCTGTATTACGCAGACATAAGAGAGCCTGTATTACGCAGACATAAAGAGAGCCTGTATTACGCAGACATAAAGAGAGCCTGTATTACGCAGACATATGAGAGCCTGTATTACGCAGACATAAAGAGAGCCTGTATTACGCAGACATAAGAAAGCCTGTATTACGCAGACATAAAGAGAGCCTGTATTACGCAGACATAAGAGAGCCTGTATTATGCAGACATAAAGAGAGCCTGTATTACGCAGACATAAGAGAGCCTGTATTACGCAGACATAAAGAGAGCCTGTATTACGCAGACATAAGAGAGCCTGTATTACGCAGACATAAAGAGAGCCTGTATTACGCAGACATAAGAGAGCCTGTATTACGCAGACATAAAGAGAGCCTGTATTACGCAGACATAAGAGAGCCTGTATTACGCACACATATGAGAGCCTGTATTACGCAGACATAAAGAGAGCCTGTATTACGCAGACATAAGAGAGCCTGTATTACGCAGACATAAAGAGAGCCTGTATTACGCAGACATAAGAGAGCCTTTATTACGCAGACATAAAGAGAGCCTGATTTACGCAGACATAAGAGAGCATGTATTACGCAGACATACGAGAGCCTGTATTACGCAGACATAAGAGAGCCTGTATTACATGCAGACATAAAGAGAGCCTGTATTACGCAGACATAAAGAGAGCCTGTACATGCAGACATAAGAGAGCCTGTATTACGCAGACATAAAGACATGCAGACATAAGAGAGCCTGTATTATGCAGACATAAGAGAGCCTGTATTACGCAGACATAAAGAGAGCCTGTATTACGCAGACATAAAGAGAGCCTGTATTATGCAGACATAAAGAGAGCCTGTATTACGCAGACATAAGAGAGCCTGTATTACGCAGACATAAGAGAGCCTGTATTACGCAGACATAAAGAGAGCCTGTATTACGCAGACATAAAGAGAGCCTGTATTACGCAGACATAAAGAGAGCCTGTATTACGCAGACATAAGAGAGCCTGTATTACGCGGACATAAAGAGAGCCTGTATTACGCAGACATAAAGAGAGCCTGTATTACGCAGACATAAAGAGAGCCTGTATTACGCAGACATAAGAGATCCTGTATTACGCAGACATAAAGAGAGCCTGTATTACGCAGCCTCATTTTAAAGTTTGTAATTGTAGTTTTCTGAGAGAACTTTTATTTATTTTTTCTAAATACTACATGAATTACATGTTTGAAAGGATACTGAAAATTATTAAAAAAAAATTTCTTTTTAGTTGATACGAACGAAGCAGAAACTGCGATTTTGTCAAAATAAGCCTCTGGACTTATTTAGTTATCAATAAAATACATGGGAGAGCAAATAGTTAAAACTTAGTGTATTTATAAAATATGCAGGATTTATTTGAACTCTTTTACTTTTCTTTCTGTTATTTGTCCTGAAATATTCAATATGCACTCAACCATAATAACACCTATTTCATGATTAATGGTTTAATATAAATATTTGTTATGATTTTAAAGTTATAGGCTTTTTTTATCTTCTCAGAGGCATGAGAAAATATTGATAAGAGTTTAAGCCAATGAAGCTAAGGAATTCTCCTTCGCAGCGTGGCTTCATTGGCTTAACAACATATCAACATATTCTCATACCTTATTTTCTTCTCTTTCCTCTTCCTTTGAATCTGTATAATTTAGATATACTCCTCTCCTTTTTTTTCTTTCTTTTCTTTACATTCTCTTTGTAGTAGGGTCGATTTCATATGCTTCCTTCTGCTTTTCTTTCCTCTTCCTCTTCTTTTTATTGATTTCTTATTTTCTTTCCTTTTTTATTTAAAAGGAATTTTGCCTTTTATGGAAAATTTTCTGCAAATGTAAAAAAAAGTGATGTTTCATAAATTATAATTTTAAATAAAATCGTTTATTATCATCATTGCTAACTACCTGATGAGGCGTGTTAAAGGTCGAAACAAAATATGCAATTTTGTAGTCATAACTTGTATGTTCTAATGTTTTATATATATATATATATATATATATATATATATATATATATATATATATATGTATTCCTTTTCTTGAATATCTGTAAATTAAGTATCGTCATGGCCGTTTTGGTGAATGCTAGCGGAGTGGATTCTCATTGTTTCTTCGTGGTTTTAAATTGTCTTTCCAGATTAGCTGATTAGAGAGTCCAATCTGACTTACTAATATGCCCATGGCTTGTGAAGGGTATATGAAGAAATGTCTATATGCCTTTACAAAGACATTAGCGCAAAAGCAACAACCGCGAGCAGATTTTGAACCCGGCCTCCCAAATCCATCTTTTGCATTGTTGACCGTTACAACAATCGCATACATGCGTTAGGATTGTTCTCTAAATTCTTGTTTTTTTTTCTCTTTTTTTTCTTTATCAGTTCACCTCAAGCAAGGTGTTAATGCCACAAATGGGTGAAAGGGGCCAAGAAGACAGACATAAGAAGGAACTGGTGCCCCAATTCTAAATAGGAAACAAGCAATAAACCTTTTGAAGAGACTGGAATGGAGTGTGAACAGAACGAGAGGCGTACCTATATACTTTTATTAAGAACGTAATATTCTATTTCTTGGAGGAATTATTAGGATTAATTTCCTCATCTTTGTAATTCCAGAAAAGTTTTCGACCGATGCATTCTCTGGCCTTCCTAGAGAAGATTGAAGTTTGAAGATTTGAAGTGTTTGCTTTTTATTTTAAGTATTCGGACGAATATACTCATCATTTTAAATTTTAACTTTCAATCTGTATATTGTAGACATTTCTTTGTGAGGTCTGAAGATCTGAGGTGTATTCTTCATCACACGCGCACACACAAATACACCCCACTATATATATATATATATATATATATATATATATATAGAGAGAGAGAGACAGACAGACAGACATATATATATATATATATATATATGTGTGTGTGAGAGAGAGAGGAGAGACAGACATATATATATATATATATATATATATATATATATATATGTGTCTCTCTCTCTCTCTCTCTCTCTATATATATATATATATATATATATATATATATATATATATATATATATATGACGGAGTGTGTGTTTTGGAAACTGCTTACCTTTGCTTTGTAACAGAGTTAATGGATATACATCAAGCAATGTGCCCACGAGACCGTAATGCAATGCTTCACACAAAAATCTACTGCAGACATTAATTTCCTCCTCACACGATGGCGTACAACAAAAGAGTCGATCGGGCATCAGCCAGCAACGAACAAGCATAGGGCCTCGCCCCATTTAATCCCAACAATAACGACAAAGAATTATATCTTTATCAATAAGGTCCGCTCAAGGAGGCTCCTCAACACGCGGCTGATTGTAAGTTCAAAAACGAGGTGCAAGTTTTAACGTGACTTCTCCCTCCTCTTACCGATACCATACCAGCCATTCATGTAACGTTGATGGGTAGCAGTGAAGGTGACGATATGGTTGTGAAGGAAATGGCAGTGCTGACGAACCTATGGGTAGCTGTAAACGGGTGACGTGGTTGGAGAAAATAATCGATAATTTTGTTTTAGTCTCTATGTTTGGTCATACGGATGGCGCCATTTTCTTTGCGCGCGCGCGCATGTTCGTAGGCACGTGCAATTGTTCGATATTTACTTAACTTGGTATGGCACAGTAGGTAAATAGGGAGGGTTACGAGTAGAAAGACCGTGTTACGCCAATCTTTCAAATGAGGAGGCCCTGAAAACCAATATTCATAATCCAGGCTCTTTATCTCAGCACGAACACCAACCTTTGGTAACGGCGGGTAAATAAGTAATTATTTTAGCAGGATGAATGTGTGAATGGCAGTGTGCGTTTGTATGTTGATCAAGATTGACGTTATGTACTAGTTAAACTAAACGATCGCGTAGAGTTCAAAAATCTTTTTAAAAGATTTGCATAGTGTGCGCCAGTTGGAATATTGCAGTCAAATGAACATATTAGTTTAATCTTTTGTATGAGAATGATGATACAGGAACTGGAGCGTTCATTGTATGGTTAAAAAAACCAGTTGGCCGTGGGGCTATCAACTCCATTTCACAAAACCTACTTGCTAATGAAAAAAAAAAAAAAGAAGCATTTCCGGTGCTTTACCCGTGACCTTATACTCCACTGGGTGTTTAGAAGTTCAACCAAACCAATTATAGGACAGGTACGAGGCACTGACCTGTTTTAATAAGTGAATTTTCTACCTTCCTTTGAGACAGCTGACATCCCAGAGATAAATTATCCGGACAATTTTATTAAATATTAAAGCAATTCTTTGGGCTTATACTGACCTGATACTGGTCTTATGGGTAATATTTCCACCCCTGTCACTTGCGCAAAGGTAAGATTCCAAATGCAAAATAACGCGGGAAACTTTTTTTTTAATAGGTTTTATATTTTCAGCGTGCGAAGATCAGAAACGTTGCGTTACCTCTTGACAATTTCACTGTAATCATTAATCTATAGATATAAAATATTTATGAAGTTGACGCAAAATTCAATAAAAAAGAACATAAATCCGCCTATCGTAACGTGGCACTTTGCAAGTCTATCTTGCAGATCAGTTCACCTGTGTATTGCAATCTCCTCACAGATGAAGACGTTTCAAGTGATAGACGGAAGAATATGAAGAATACCAGAGACAGAGTTTTTTTGGGGGGGGGGCAATGAGAAAGTTTTAGGAAAATAAGAAGAAGGACACTTACATTTACAGCCAGAAAGAGTCACTTGTAATTTCTGGGGATGCATCTTGAGTAAAGATGGACTAGAATATTTAATGTTCTCATGATATATCAAATGTGGTATATAGGTAAGAGAAGCAGGTGGGGAAAGCTTGTATCTTAACGAATAGACGGTAAACGGTCAAAATTTGAATGAGAATGAATGGTAAATTTGAATGGGAATGGATGGTAAATAGTCAAAACTTGAATGGGAATAAATGGTAAATTTGAATGGGAATGAATGGTAAACGGTCACAATTTGATTAGGAATGGATGGTAAATTTGAATGGGAATGCTTGGTAAACGGTTAAAATTTGAATGGGAGTGAATGGTAAATTTGAATGGGAATGGATGGTAAATTTTAATGTGAATGGATGGTAAATAGTCGAAATTTGAATTTGAATAAATGGTAAATTTTAATGGGAAGGATGGTAAATTTTAATGTAAATGGATGGTATACGGCCAAAATTTGAATTTGCATTAATGGTAAATAGTCAAAATTTGAATTTGAATGAATTGTAAATTTGAATGGGAATGTATGGTAACCGGTCAAAATTTACAATAAAAGGTAGAAAGTGGTGGAGAGCCATAATCGTCCTCTTCCTGAAGGAACTTAGCACATAAAAAACTTAAATATTTGACGTTATGGTTGGTTCAGAAATGGTTCAGTTCCTTTAGTTACAAATTGGCTAGTTTATTAATTATACTTTTCAACCCACAAAGACAAAGTGATTTTTTTTCAGTCAGTAGGGTACGCAAAGCAAGAGATATGTGGCTCTCCCAACGAATAACGGCTTAGAATAACACGGAAAGAATACACGAGCAACGAGGAATAGTTCACCCTGTCTTTTGCTAGAACAGCAGCATCCAATATCTGACATGTTTTCCTTTCATTGTTCACATTGACTACATATCAGTTTTTGATCTAGTTTCGTTCCAATTATATTTCCTACATTTTTCGAGTACATTTTCTAGATTGCGCATATTCCTTTAACAGATAAAAGAATGCTAAATTGCTACGTATGATCTAACCTCCTATATGAAAGTGAACGTGAGACAATTTCATCAGAGAGATGTGGTTCTGCCGGTGAAGGTTGAGAAAACTATGGACAGAAAATGTGCGCAACAAAGAAATTTTAAGGTTATCAGAAACTGCTACTAATAATAAAAAAGAAAGAGCTGAAATTTTCGCGACAAAGATAAAAAAGGGTTGGTGAATGTATGGGATATTAAAGACAAGAGAAACAGCGATCAACCTGCTTAACAAGTTTGAGTGGATGGATGACAAAACAAAAACGAAGTTAGTTCGGCCGTGTATCCGCTCGCAACATCTCAGCAAATATTCTATAGTTGTTTGGGTCCATAATAGCTACTTTAGTTCCTCCAGATTTTCGATACCAGTAATTTGCATAAGTGTATCTAAGAACATCACGGCTTACTGGTCCCTATTATTTGGTCTTTTAAATGGCTGCTTTAAAACGGGTTTTGATGAAATTTCTCGTGGATGGTTTAAACAATGTTCGGCTTGCTTCATCCTTCTGAATGCTATCTTCTTTGAGACTAGGATTCGCTTTCCGTTGAGCTTCTAGTTTGTTAGTCTAGTGTATATTACGTTCTCTTCGTAACATTTTAGTGTAGCATCCATTTAGCCTCTTGTAGAAGGTTTAATCGGTGATTCATACGGGAGGATTGACGCTACTGTAGCTAGGAAGATGTATATCTTGATGTTACGGCTGACTTTTGATTTCTATACTTTCAACAGCTATTGCACAGTCTGACCAAACTAGAGATCGTCTCACTTCGAAGCCCTTGAACGAGTCGGGCATCTAAGAGACTCCAATTTAACCAGGAAACACAAGACCAAGTATATGCCGGAGGCAACAAGCCAGTTATAATCGTTCATGATTTGGCTCTTGGATGTCCAAATTGTTCAAGGATAAGGAGAAAAATGTCGGTAAAGGGTTAACAGTTACTTAAAGTAACAAAAGACACGAAGTTATGGATTGTCATGATCTTGCACCGCTGAAAGAAGATGATATATAAAAGAAGATAGATTATTTCCTCGTGTTCAACCAATGGGACCTTATGTCAGAGTAACATAAGATTATTAACTTGTTACTGGAACGTGTTTCAATGGGAGCAAAGAAAAGAGGACCTATTTTAGTACGATATTCAGCAAGTTCACCGATCAAATGCATTTACTTGCTTAGTAAGTTCAATACTCCCTGACTGCTCTCTAATTAGTCATTAGTCCTGGGTAGAACGATAAAATAAATCCGGTAGCAAGGACTTTGATTGAGAGATTGGAGGTTCTGAGAAGCGTGGAACCATTTCTTAATTGCTGTTGTTTCCAGTGGATTGGAGTCTCTTAGATGTCCGACTCGTTCAAGGGCTTCGAACTGAGACGAACTCTAATTTGGTCAGACTGTGCAATAGCTGTTGAAAGTATAGAAATCAAAAGTCAGCCGTAACATCCAGATATACATCTACTCGGGTGGTAGAACATGTTAGCATCACAGCTATAGGCAAATAGTGAACGTCAAACAAAAACAAAACAATATGAAAATATAAAAATACACTTTCACAGTAAAAATACCTTTCAGTACATTTTTATATATAAAAAAATTATCAACAATACATATTTATAGTAAAATGACTAACAATACATTTTTATTGTAACATGACCAACAATATATTTTTCAAGCAAAATAATCAGGAATTCATTTCATATTACCAAAAGACATTTTATAGTAGAAATATCAACAATACAACTGATAGAAAAATGAGCAACAATATATTTTATAGCTAAATGACCAATAATACACTTTATCTGAATTTGAAGGCGTACAATTGCATTCAATATATTCAGTTGAAGTCATAAAAGTGTCTTCAAAATAGCCCATCGACTTTATATACCGCTAAACAAAATCAACCAACGAATCGTACTTATATATGCGTATTTCCTTCTGGTATCAATGTGTTTGAATGTTGCTAGGATTTTGAATGTTAACGACCTGAGAAGAGAGCCAGCTATTGCTATATTTTCTGCGTCATGCCATGCTAAGCCTAATGGTAGCAGGTATTCGTTTATCTCGCAAGATACTGGTAGCACCGTTTGTTAAAAATTCAGACCTATGGTGGTGAGTCTAGAGTGACTTCTCCAGGGCGCAGGCCTGGGCGATGGTATATGGAGGCACTGTGATGCTCAGACCACACGCTGTCCCGATTTGGCAGCGGAAGTTGCCGGCAGTTTGTTAGTTTTGACAGACAACTGATTTCGGGTTTCCACTCCAGATTTTCTGTTTGGATTTATTTCGATAGGCTTTTCTACGTTTTGCATATAACCGCAAGACAGCCGAGGTTTCAAATCAGAGTTTTCCTCCCCTAGACAGACTTCGTCCTTGGACTTAGAACTCCATGTGGATTTAGTTTGAGACACATGTCATGAAAGCATTTTATACACTCTCTAAGCTCAGTAAATAATAAGTATGCCTAATAAAGGCATCGTTTATTAATGATGGTATTCGATAAGCATTAACA